CGCTGCTGGACACCAATTGTGGCATTCGCCCTTATGGCCTCTGCTTGTCTTTCCCTCACAAAGGCTCACATCATGTTTTCCTCTCGCTGCCACCAGTGGATTACCTCAATCCACAATATAAATGACGTTTGTATGAACACTTGACTTGTGAACAGAAACAGAACTTATTTATTGAAGTCAAGCAGACTGAATAATAACAGATGGTTTCTCAGATAAACATTATATCTTCAACAGTTCTCTTTTCTCCTGCTATATCATTGCCACCTTCTCTACCTATTTTCCTAACCAGCTCTATCTCTCAGTATCTGTTCCCTCTCTCTCTGACTAACTAGCCCTATCTGACTCCTCCTTCTCCCACCAAGCCTCATGTAGCTGCTGACTCCACCTCTCCAGTCCTCTCATAGGTTCATGCAAATCAGCTCATGAATATGAATGGCATGAGTGACATGGGCAATCATCACAATAATATTCCCGAATGTGAGAAAGACACTCCTGTTCATCAGGATTACTTGAATTAACAAAGTTGTCTAGTCGATTTCCAGCATTCCTCCTCTGGTCTAACACAAGCAGCTTTACACCTCAGAATGACATCTGCTCTACCCTGATATGGTTTCAGGCTGTTGACATGATAATGGATAGGTTTTTCCTCAAAACCAGGCATCTGAACAAGATAATTCAGAGTTCCAAATCTCTGCAAAATTTTACCTGGGCCTTCCCAGGAGATCTCTAGCTTGTTAAGTCTGAGGGGCTTCAAGGCAAGAACAGTCTCCCAACTCAGACTCTCTGTGCCCTCCCATCTGGCATATGTCATAAGAAAAAACAAAGTATCTCACAGAGCTCTTCATTTTTGGCCAGTAAAACTATCTAGTGACTTTCTGCAAAGTCTTTTTGGTTCTCAGGTGTCCTGAAAATGGATAGTTATGTACCAATTCCAGTACCTTGTGCATGTATTGCTGAGGCACTATGAGTTGACTAAAATGCTCTAAAATCAACTCTAAAACTTTGGGCAAACTGGTGGTACAGTAGACCATTCAGGTCTCAGAAAAAATTTACAGGCTTGGTCTGACTCAGCACCTGAGGCTGGTCAGCTTGCAACCGCAGGGCTGTTAAAGAAGGGTCATTTTCTAGCTGTTTTTTGAACTCACTGTAACTAGCCATTTCAGACATAAACTCCTCTTCTGGGCTAACAAATTTTGTGGGAGCTGTTTCTGGTTTCTCTGGCAATAGAAGTTGCTCTTCAGCTGGCAAAACCAGTCTGCCAAGTGGGGTTTGCTCTGCCCGGGGGGAATTTGGACTGCCAGCTGCTCTGCTGTTGGGTTTCCTCAAAGGAAGAATCAGTCATTAAGACATTTAATGTCTCTTTCAAAACTGTTTTTGCATCGCCCCCCAGTCATGAAGCAAATGGGTGTCCCTTAAAGGGACATTTGTCACAATGGCTTGAGAACACAAGTCCATGAGGGAAAGATCTGTGTCCTCTAGTCCTTTAGTTATCTCTGTGTTCAGTTGTCTTGAAGGCATAGGCAAAGATTCATCAGCCAGTAATCTTACAGGTGAAGCCCACAAACCTGCAGTTACATTGGTTGAATGCATGATAGGGGAAGTGAGGGAGCTCTCTGGCTGCCCCATTAAGTCAATCAAAGAACTGCTGGAGCTTATCTGCTTGCAAGTCAAGTCCAGTCAGTAATATAGGATATCTAGTTAAGTCAAAATATTGTAAAAACCAATTCTCACCCATCCGATGAATCCACGCAGACTGCTTGGAAATCTTGCATTGTAAATCCAGATCCTCAAAGCTCAATGTCCACAGAAAGACCTGAATAGTTTTCCTGGCCTCCTTAGCAGCTCCAAAATTTCCAGCTGACCAAGAGTCATCTGAGATGGGCTGCATAACTGCCATTCCTCCTTTTTCTATTACTTCCTTCTCAGCTGATGGTGAAATTACCCCTCGCAGCTCTGGAGTTGGCAGTGCTGTTTCTTGAAGTTGAAAACCTCCTGTCTGCAAACTCCCAAATTCAAATGGGTCTTTGGTAACGGTGGCATCATCACTCTGGTCAGGAGTCTGAAACAATGTTGCTTTGAGGAGGAATCCGTCTGGGGAGTCATCTTTCTGAGTCTTCTCCATGCTCACTCTTCTGAAGCCATCTGGTAATGGAAAGTTTTGTTCCTCGGCTTGCTGAGGGTTAACTCCTCACGGTCTGGGAGCTAGCAAGGCTGCTCTCTGAGGTGGGCAGTCTCTGGAAGCATTCTCTGTCTCTGGTGATGGAAGGTCTTCTTCGGCTTTAAAGGTTCCCCTTGACAATTTTTTTTTTGTCCAGTCGTGTTCGTCTCTAGAGGGCGGTGCTCATCCCCATTTCCAAGCCCTAGAGCCAGCATTTGTCCGAAGACAATCTTCCGTGGACACATGACCAGTGCGACTTAGACACGGAACGCTGTCACCTTCCCACCGAGGTGGTCCCTATTTATCTACTCGCATTTGCACGCTTTTGAACCGCTAGGTTGGCGGGAGCTGGGACAAGCGACGGGCGCTCACTCCGTCGCGTGGATTCGATGTTACGACTGCTTGGTCTTCTGACCCTGCAGCACAGGCTTCTGCGGTTTAGCCCGCAGCGCCACCACGCCTCTTCGGCTAGCTGAGAGTTAATTCCTCTCAGTCTGGGAGCTGGCAAGACTGCTTTAAAGGGTTGAAAGTTTCCTGAAGCGTCTTCTGCCTGGGAGTCCCCAAAGTCTCGCTGGCCCCGAACAGTGTCATCTGGTGCTAGGGGTGCCGCCTCTCCTAGCTGGTTACCTGACTGTTGTTTGGAAACAACAAACCTTCTCTAGTTCTGTTGCTGCATCTCTTCTCTGCACTACTAAGGATTCCGTCAGGAGTCCGATGATCTCATCCACTTAAGGCTGAGTTGAAGCTGCTCCTGCTCTCTGGCTGGACACATCTTCAGGGTGAGTAACGAGGCTCCTGCTCTCCTGAGCTACCCTTACTTTTGCTGCACATGGCGCTTGGTCTCCAACCTCCCGGACGTGGACCGCCATCTCTCCGGAATGCTTCCTTGTTTCTAGCCTGACTAACATTGCCAGTTCACCGCTGGTGGCTCCTTCGGTAGCCACAGCTCCAGCCAGCACTACTGCTGCTGGGCTTGTCCGTTGCACTGGGACACAGCTGCTGGCTGAGAAGAACATGTACTTTATGTTAGTTTTGTTACTGTTATTTTCTTTAACATTAATTTTTTTAATAAAAAAACTGAATTTATATGTAGATAGAGGGTGGCATGAATTTGTTAGAGACTATGGGCGTGATTCTGTGATCCTCTTTAAAGGCTTTTATTTTTATAGGAAGTTAGCCACATTATTGCATTTATTCCATTGGAATAAATGGGAATTCGCAGAACAGAACTTTGGTGGCAGTTGATGTATGTGTATTTCAGCAGGAGGATTATACATACAGAGTTTGCACAGATTGGTCACAATCAAGCAGAATAGATAAAGAGATATAATTTGGTTACAGTGATTTTCTTTTCCTATCAGTTAAAATTTACACCAGCAGAGGCAATTAGACTGTTAGCTTGCCTATGACCTGTGTGCAAACAGGATGGATGCAGCTTTGCGTTTACTATGGAAGACATACGTAGTCTTAAACTGCAGGACTTAATGTTTCTAACTTTGTCCGCAGAGTCCCTCTCTCATTACATTTTGAAATCAGATGAAGACAAGGAGGACTTAAGATCAGCCCGCCCTTCCCCTTTCGCTCCCTGATTCGTTTTAACTGATGGCGCGAATATTCTCTTGAAAGACTGGACATGTTTGTGCCTTTTGGGGTAGTCCGTAATTGTACCCCACTTGTCAATCACACACACCCTCTGCCTCGAGGCCATGGGCTTTCCTCCAGTGACATCAAGGACTCATCCTCCCCCCTCTTTCCGCCAGTGACACCTCTGCTCTTTCCTGGGCTTTATCTCTCTCACCCATATCCCACCTCAGACAGCTCAGTGTGGAGTGGGAAGGGAGGCAGTTAATTGTGCCCCCTCCCCCTCGCTCGTCGCTGGTCACCTGGCCCCTCCTCCTTCATTCATCTCAGGCCAACAAACGGTTCTAAGAACCAATAGTACATTTAGGAAGCGGTTCTATAGAATAGGTGAGAACCTGCTGAATCCCACCTCTGCAGCCCGCCCTTCCCCTTTCGCTCCCTGATTCGTTTTAACTGATGGCGCGAATATTCTCTTGAAAGACTGGACATGTTTGTGCCTTTTGGGGTAGTCCGTAATTGTACCCCACCAGCCTAGAGTTAGAGGAAATGTAATTGAATCTGCTAGAGAGGGGAACTGTTGCATATGTGTACGGTACATTCTTGCATGGGGAACAAGGCTATATACAGAATCCCTTGAAATCAGAACTGACAGAGAAGTCTTGCCGTCCTTCCTTCCCGGGAGCGAACAATATCGCTCCACCGCCTTCTCCCGGCCCCTTTTCTGTGCATATCCCCGAAGATCAATCGGCTGCCGCATCGTTTGCTTCCACTCCCTGCTCTTGTCCCTCGGCTAATTTCCAAAGCAAAATCCTTTTAAATATTTCAGGAGCAAAAGGTTTCAACACAGCAATCAACTAGAGACACTCCTCCTCCCACCCACCGCAACCCTCACCTCGCTCTTTGTCATCCCTCTGAGGTTAATTGAGCCGTGCACATTTTATGCGATATTTAACCCTTCCAACAGTTGCGCTCTCCCAAGCAGGACAGCTTTTCTTTGCCCCTGATCCCCTCCCTGCCTGGCCCTGACACCTTGCGAAAAGATGCGTAAAAGTTCTCCCAGATGCACCAGGCAATGAGAATCAGCCAAGCCTTGTCTGCCAGCCACGGCCAAAGGAAACCCACGGCTCACCCTCCCCTCCCCGACTCCCCGTACGCCCGTCCTGTTCCCGGCTCCCTGGCCAATCACGTACTCGTAGGGAGTATGAGCAAAGACCCCATTGGCTGAGAGATCTGCATGCATAAAATAGAGGCGATGGCTAGGGAGGGAGGCAAGGGGCTTTGTTATCTTGAAGGCACTTTCGGTGAGCGGCGCAGCGTACAGGTGGCGGTTGTTGTCGTTAGGAGCCAGCGCGCAGCTGAGGCGCGGCAGGACACGACAGCTGTGTGGCTCCCGGAACAAGCGTGACATAAGACCATCGAGGCTCTCTACCTGGCGATCACTGGGCATTCACCTTAGAGAGAAAGACCAAGGAGCGCGGCTTGTCTCTTGTGGGCTAGGGGGAGACCACGCGCCCCCAAGGTGGGCACTTTTTCAACTAGGGTCCCTTTCCGTGCTTTGCCAACCCTGCTGGCCACTTCTAGAGAAAGAAGGCAATGGGGAGGGCAAGAGCGAGAAGGTGCTGCTTTTCCTAGTCCTCCAACACCACTCCCCACCTACTCCTCTCCACAAAAGACCGCGGGATTGTTTCCCCCTCCACCCGACGGTCTCCGCTTTGCCCTCACGGAAGCTCGACAGGCACCCCGCCGGTGAGGATGGTAATAGGCAGCGGGCTTCCCGCGAAGCAGCCGCGGGCGGGCTGGAACTTGCTCAGGCAAGGACCCAAGGTGACATCGGTCCAGGGACACCATTTATACCCACATCCTTCGCACGGAACTTCTCGAGTGTGAAGGCCTTGAGGAGAGCTGAGGGCACAAGGACGGACAGCATCCAGGTGGCCCGAGAAAGAGAACTCAGCGACTGCCCGCGCGCCCGCCTTCTCCTCTGGATTGCTAGGTGGAGTTGCCCCTGGCGGGCCGCTCTCTTCACCCCCACTTTTTGGCGCCTGCGGTTGCATTGCCAGGCCAGGAGCATTGCGCGGGGTAAGTCTCCAAAGTTCTCGTTGACTCGCCTTGGCGGCGCCGTCGCCTCCTCTCCGTGGGTGGGGAGAGGGTTAAGGCGGCGGGCAGAGCCGGGCAAGGGAGGGCGTAGCAGTGGCTGAATTTAGAGGCGACGCCTAGTGCCTGCCCGCCCGCCTGTTTGTCTTTCTGTTTGTCTTATCTCCACATGTGGGATGGAGAAGCCTCATGGGCAGGTCTTGACGGATTGCACCCTAAAGCTGAGAAGAACCAGCAGGGTTCTCCTATAGCAACGCCTACCAGGCCTGGAGCCTTTCAAGGCAGGCTGCTGATCCCGCTCTAGTGGGAAGTGGGCCGCAGCTGGCGTATGTGTTTGTGTATGGTGACGGCGGCCATTGTTGCCGGTGGACTGATTCTGCCGTTAGTTGCTGCAATAGAGAAAACAGCGGGTCCTTCCCAATTGGTTTCCGTATCTACCGTGGCTGTTCGGCATTTTGGGGCGTAAGGGTGAAGGAGGCGAGCCAGACTCCAGTCGAAAGGAATATTCTGGGGAGTTGGGGGGCGGGCGGGTGTGACTCCGTCTTTTAAATACCGGAGCCCTCAGTTCTAAAAATGATTCTGCTTGCCAAGAGGTGGCGAAGGAGGCTTGACCCCTAGATATGATGGTTCATCTCCAAAACATACATGCTTAAAGTGCTTGTGAGCCTATGCAGAGTGAATTTCCATCACTTGACAAAATAACTATAGTCCCTGCCTTCCCACCTGGGATGACAAACTCTGCCCAAGGTGGGAGTTCCAGGGGATCTTGAACATGGCTGTTTTAAGAATTCTGTTTGTCCCCCTAAAACTCCCCTGAAGAACCTGATGAGAGTTTGGGTGAATCTGGGTTTCCAGATAGGAGCTGAGAGATGGGATTGATTATAATTTCTTTTCCTGAGTGTGTGAGGGCACTGTAATCTAAGATATGTGTTCTGTATTTTGCAAGCTGCAAACGGCCTCCAAAACCCCTGACCATATTGTATAATAGGCAATTGCTCCCCTTTTCAACTCAGAAGATAGTAAGCCTGAAAATGCTTCTGCTTGACTACACCCTGTGGATCTGCTCAAATCTCTGCTTTCACTTGCAAGAACAACCTGCTGTTCTCATATTCAGCCCTCCGTGTGACCAAAGATGTACCATAGTAAAACACAGCATGTTTAGAAATATAACAGTTCCTTAAATCCTTTCCTTTGCCGTGCCATCCTGCTGGGGGAGAATTCTGGATTAGTTTCTCTGTGCTCCAAGTATAATGAGAGCTGTCTGACAGTGATAGATATTGGAGTAATAAGAATACCATTCTATGGAACAGCTCTGGGCATAGACACTTTTGAAATGAATGTATTTTATAGCCTGTATGAGATGTATATCCAACATGGGAGCTTATCTACGCAATAGCCCTCTATGACAGTGGGGAAAGAATAAAGAACCATCACAGTTAGATTTTAAACTTCTGAAAATATTAATATTTGTGGAATCAACTGTCTTGCTTTAATTTAAAAAAAGACACAAAATATCAGCATTGAAGTGTGATCATGGTCTTTGTAAGTTAGAGGGAAATGAATATTTTGAGTTTACAGTATTTGGTGATTTATAGGGCATGCTGTTGAACTCCACTTGTGGCTTTCTTATTTGGCTTTCCCAATACAAGAAATAGAACCTTATTTGATTTAATGTAGGGATCATTTCATATTTCATACAGGCAAAGCCCAATTGGAAAATGCAGCCCATGGTATCTTATTGATGACAACATGTGCATCATATGTGTCCTCAATATGCATGTAAAGTATATGTGCTATATGATATGCAAACACATTTTAGATGCACATTAAGGCCACACTGCCCTGGCTGCCCATCCGATTCCGCATCGGCTTCAAAGTGTTGATGCTTACGTATAAAGCCCTAAACGGCTAAGGGCCTCAATTCTTGGCGGAACACCTACTCCCACCGAGATCTACCTGTGTCACTCATGCGAGCCAGGAGGTGAGGCTGAGGGGCCTAACGCCGAGGGAGGCCCGGAAGGAAAAGACAAGAAATCGGGCCTTCTCGGCGGTGGCCCCTCGCCTCTGGAACAAGTTACCTCCTGAGATTCGCGTGGCCCCCTCGCTGGGTATCTTTAAGAATCAATTAAAAACATGGCTGTTTCAGCAGGCCTTCCCATCAGATAATCCCTGACACCCCCCTGACGCCCTTTTCTCCCTCTCTTATTGTTCCTCTCACTTTGTGTAATGGTTTTCTATTTAATAATTGTTTTATGTATCAATTTTATTGTATTATTAATGTTGTTAGCCGCCTAGAGTGGTCCTGATCCGTACAGATAGGCGGGATATAAATAAAATAAATAAATAAATAAAATCTCAGCTTGACATCTAAAAATGCAGTATATAAAATGTCCTGAAACTTACACATTTTCCAGCAAAACTATAGTCTGCTGTTGCCTTAATTGGAATGGGGACCAGCATCCTTCCTTCCATTCTTGTGATGAATGTGAAAGGAGAATAAAATACACATAATGACATATGTTTAGCCAGCTCCAAGACTGCAATTAATTTATTAAAGCATAGTGAAACATCAAGTCCTTACAACGGTGTGCATCTTCTTAATGGAAACAAGGCAGCTTTAAAAATATCCCGTGTTATACCAGGCAGAGGACAAGCAGTCTAAACACTGACCAAGCCAGAATTTCCAGAAGGAAGAGCTCTGCCACCGTGCAGGTGAGAAAAGCAGGGAAGCTGGTGGTGAGATGATATCAGAAAGAACTTTCAGCTGCCTGTGTTTTTGACTATCTGAAAGCACATGAGTGTGCAAGGCTTCTCTTCTTTCTTCCTGGAAACATTTCTGAACATTTGTGAGTCCCTTGGCTGGCAGATATTCAATAGGTGTTGCTTTCTCAAAATAAAGATGAAATGACAGGGGAAAGATTCAGAGGGTGAATTTCTGTGAAATTCTACCTCTAAAGGTAGAGGAGTCCCTGCTGGGTGTAGTGTGGTGGAGAAGCAGTTGGATATGAAAAATGTAGATTTGAATAGATTCTGGCAGTGTGGGGAGAATATAAGAGCAGTACTGTGGACAGATTAGGGATATGCAGTGACAGATACCATATGGATCTGAACCTTCAGTAGTAATGGGAGGTGTAGGCTGATAACCCTGATGCTAATCTTAGTTCTAGGTATTGAAGCCTTCTGAATAACATTAGGACTTGTATAGCAAAGGCAATGAGTGTTTTGGAAATGGAAGATTTCAGTTCTCTTACTGCTATTGGCAGGAATAAATGTAGTGTCTTTGAGTGTCTGTCTGTCTTTTTCTAATTGCTTATCTAACTGTTTTGCAGGACTTTTGTGGACAATTGATGTAATATTTGGAATATCCTTTTGCATTAAAATTAAGCATTGTTTATGTTTGTTTGGTTGAACAAAGTTACCCCTCTCTTGTTTTCCTCTTTTGATTAAGTAAGAGACAATTATGAATTTTCTTGGTGTTTCAGGGCAGTGTGACATACAACAGTAGAGCTAACTTGTTTTACATATAATTTCCTGGTACACTGTTGAATCCATTTTTGTGTACAAAAGCATCAGTTTGTCCAAGGGTAATTTCTTCAAATTATGCAGACCTGGCCAATGTAATTTTGGGTTCTGCCTGTCATTTACACATGTTGCATTTTCCATAATCACCCATCAATAAACTAAGCTGTTTATAATTTTGATTCAGGCCTATGCTGAAAACTGCTTGTTGATTCAGCAGTTGGGACAAATATTCCAAAGAGACAGACTGGAACATGAAGTTAGATAGGATTGGGCTACTTGTCTGGCACTAAGGATCACAGCAGAAATGCCATGATCATGAGCTGAGAAACCTAGATTTAAAGGCAGGCAGACAGACCGAAGCACCCACTCATCCATACTTAGCTGGCATTCTCAGAATTATTACAAGAATATACAAATTGCACAAACATGCCTGTGGTCATAGCTTTAGAAATATAGTAGTACCTCAGTTTACAAAATTAATGCATTCTACGGGACGTTACGTAAAGCAAAAAATTCATAAACCAAAATGCGGATTGCCATAGGAATGGGGGCAGTGCTACAAGCCTCCACGCACAATGCATCCTGGGGAAACTTTCTTCGTTCTCAAAAAGCAAGCAAGCAAGCAAACAAAAACAAACAAAAAAGAAAAAAAACATAAACTGAAGCATTATTTTCCATGGATTTTGCTTTGTAAACTGACAATTATGTTAATCGACGCATTGATTTTTGCAGTCAACAAAAGTTGACTTTTGCAGTTCTGCATGTCTCAACTGACACCCTATTTGTAAAGAAGCGGCAGATTTCTCTCCTGCCATTCACCTAATGGAGGAAGCCTTCTGAAACTTCTGAAGCCAAAAAGGCAGTGAGAAAGCGCGGGAAGTTCGAACTTCCCGCACTTTCTCCCTGCCTTTTTGGCTTCAGAGGTTTCAGAAGGCTTCCTCCGATGTCGGAGGAAGCTTTTTGAAAGCTCCAAAGGCAGGGAGGAAGGGCAGGAAATTCAAATTTCTCACCCTTTCTCCCTGCCTTTTAGGTTCGTAACCCGATCTGCGTTCGCAAGTAGGCTTTACTACTTGCGATGAGATCGGGTTCGTAACCCGAAATGTTCGTAACTAGGGCCGTTCATAAGTCGAGGGCCCACTGTAAAGATAAAATCAAGATAAACTTATTTGCAGATTACATGTTATTAACAATTGAAGATTAGAGATGGGGTATTCATATTTACATATAAGAACACAAATATCCGAGCGTAGCTGGAGTTAAGGAGGATCCGGCCCCTGGGGCTGGACTGTGCACTCATAAATCTGGTGGTGGCCCCGTTCATCCTTCCATTTGCTCCTGAGTGCAGTTCTAGCCACTCCTGGCAGAGGGAGGGAGGATGCGTCTCCCTGCAAGGCTGCTGAATGGCTAGCTGAGCATTGCTCTAGAGTGATTGGGAGGAAGAGAGGGACTGCCACTGGTGGATG